TCAGGAGGCTGAGATCTGAGGATCGCAGTTCAAAGCCAGCCCGGGCAGGAGAGACCTTGAGACTCCTATCTCCAATAAACCACCAGAAAACCAGAAGTGGCGCTGTAGCTCAAGTGGTAGAGCGCTCGCCTTGAGCTGAAAAGCTGACGGACAGCGTCCAGGCCCAGAGTTCAAGTCCCACGACCGACCAAAAAAAAAAAAATATGACTGGGGAAGCCTTTTTTTCTGGGATGGAGCCATGGCTCAAATGGTTGAGCACTTGGCTAGCAAGTATGAAGCCTTGAATTCGAACCCCAGTAGTTTCAAAAAGAGAGAAATAAAGAGAAAGAGAAACAGAGAGAAATATAACAACTCAATAAAAGTTCATTATTTTGCAGTGCATCAATATGGCCCACACCTGGAATCCTAATTACTCAGGAGATTGACATATATGTAGATTGTGGTTTGAAGCCAGCCAGAGCAGGAAAGTATGGGAGACTCTTTATCTTTGATTAACCACCAAAAGTGAAACTGTGGCTCAAGTAATAGTGTGACAGATTTCAGGGAAAAAGCTAAGGGATAGTACCCAGACTAAGTTCAAGCCCCAGGACCAGCACATACACACACACAAAAAAGTTAGCTATTTTATTACCATTCTTGTTTTTTGTTTTTGTTTGTTTGTTTTTGCTGATCCTGAGGCTTTAACTCAGGGCCTACACACGGTCCCAGTGCTTCTTTTGCTCAAGTCTTATGTTCTAACACTTGAGCCCAGGCACCACGTCTGGCTTTTTCTGAGTACTTAATTGGAGATAAGAGTCTCATGGACTTTTCTGCCCAGGCTGGTTTCAAACTGCAATCCTCAAATCTCAACCTCCTGAGTAACTAGGATTACAGGCATGAGCCACCTGCACCCAGCTTTTATTACCATTCTTTGAGTCTGTTATAATTCATTATCTTTATGATTGTTAAAAAAAGAATAAGATGATGAATTTAGGTAAATATTCTCAAGAATATTTAATTTGGAACAAAAATTGACACTCAAATAAGCTTCTCCACCTATGTATTTATTTCACAAGCACATACACACACATACACACACAATCATTTCTAGACAGACGGATTAATATAAGTTTAAAAAGTGTTTTAATGTCTAATAATATTGAGAATTCACTATGACCACAGCTTCAAACAAAACTTGCACAATTACAGTCCTGTAAGATAAAAGCTAAAGTTGAGAATAACAAATCTGGCTTTAGATAACTTATGTCAGCAAAATGCCAATTAAAATGCCAATTTTATTCATGATCCTACTAATACAGAAATGTGGAAAATTGTCGTAAAGCAATTTTAAATAATTATTTAAAAGAGATTTTGTGTAACACCCAGATGGCTGAACAATTCAATTATCAAAGCACTATGCCTATTACAGTGCTTTCATAAAATCCTCCTAAGAGTTTCTCAGCTTTTCTATCCCTTTCTTTTAAAAAGTGTTCATGGAGCCGGGCGCTGGTGGCTCACGCCTGTAATCCTAGCTACTCAGGAGGCTGAGATCTGAGGATCGCGGTTCAAAACCAGCCCAGGCAGGAGAGACCGTGAGACTCCTATCTCCAATAAACCACCAGAAAACCGGAAGTGGTGCTGTAGCTCAAGTGGTAGAGCGCTCGCCTTGAGCTGAAGAGCTGACGGACAGCGTCCAGGCCCAGAGTTCAAGCCCCATGACCAACCAAAAAAAAAAAAAAAAAAAAAGTGGTCATGTAGCTAATGCACTAAAAATGCTGTAAGAGGACTGGAAACAGAAAAGGTGGTTCTGCAGATTGGCCGTGAAGAACCCAGTGCTGCCACTCTCCCATCCACCCAGAAAGAGTGCCCACAGCAGGCTCAGAGGTGCCAGTTGTAATGAGACACTTTTGTTGAAAATGCATTCCAGAGTTTCTGCATGGCTAGAACCATCTGATCATGGGACCATGCAGGCTAATCTCTCTTGCAAGAGCACCCTCTTCTGAGACCTTTGGTCACAGACTGAATTCAGCCTTGGAAGCTTTCACAGCATGAGATTGACCCCCTTGGGATCCTTATGGAATTCCTAAATAAATATACCAACTAGAGTATACAAAAATGGAATTTGGCAAAATAAGAAAGAAAAGACAAGAAAGAGGGAGGGAAGCAAGAGAAGGAGGGAAGCAAGGGAAGGAGGGAAGGAAGGAAAGGAGGGAAAAGAAGATAGAGGAAATTAATTTTTTTTTAATTAAGAACAGAGCTGGGCATGGGTGACTCAAGCAGCCTGTAATCTTAGGTACTCAGGTAGCTGAGATCTGAGAATTATGGTGCAAAGCCAGCCCAAGCAGAAAAATCCATAAGACTCTTTTATCTCCAATTAACCATTAAAAAACCAAAAGTAGAGCTGTGGCTCAAGATCACAAACCCTGAGTGAAAAAGCAAAGGGACAGCACTTAGGCCATGAGTTCAAGCTCCAGAATTGGGGGGGGGGGGGAAGCAGATAAAAGATTTACTCAAAATTCAATTTTTGTCTAATCAGATATACAAATGATAAGTATTAATCCAAACCATAATGGTATCATTAGATTGGTAACACAGCAGAATCTTAGAAGTAATATAAATATCCAACTATAATATTGTATACCCACTTAATATGATCATAACACCTAATATGATTTTTTCCAAAGGTATGTAATAAACAATTTTAGGTAAAACTTAAGGTCTAATTGGGGGAGCAAGAAAAACACACACAGGTACAGTTCGGAAAAAAAGTTATATATGTTATCTATATACATACACACAAACACACACAGAAACAAGAAAATAAATAGAAATAGTAACAGTAGGCATTACTTTTTTCTCTTCTTTGCAATTGTTCATATTTTTAATTTTATCCATACCCCAAGAATTAATTACTAAGCAAGCTACTGAAAATTTAAAGATGAAAAGTAAAATAATACACACTAGAATAATCTGCCAATGTTTTATTAAATGCCTCAAGAAAATCCTTAGTATATATATTTTTTTCTTCACCATGAGAACATAACATACCACAGTATGCAAAAAATTGTAAGACTGAAACTCCCACAGAAGTTTATAGAACAAAATGTGTACTAAGTCTTCCAATTAAAGACCCATAAAGTAGTTTCAGTGCTTTCTAACCCACCTTCTCACAGCAGGGATTTAATCCCTCCAGGGGGATGCAAACAAACTTCAAAGAGAAGATTATGCCCAGACACTGGTACTGTATAGGCTTATATCTAAGTTTGCCCCGATACTTTGGCACACATTAGAAATACAGATCCAAGGAACAAAAGACTTAATCATAAGACAGACTCTTTGCAATCATCTAAAATTGCAAAAATAATGCAGCAAGAAATATCAGGAAAAGTCAAACATACAAGTCTTATTAAATACAAGAAGGTAACAGAAGCAGACAAAGGTGTCTATAATCAAATATCCAGTAGCATCTTATTCATTGGTAACAGCAACTATGAAATCGAACACATTTCCCAAGAAAGTAAGCAGAACCAGTTTCATTTGTGTGCCCAAACTTTATTTGTAAAATCTTTAACAGATATTCCCTTCAATGTTAGAGGTCTTAATGCAATCTCTAAGTAGAACTAAGAGATCACTTGTCTCTTCCATGCATGTCACAAGATAGTCCTTAATTGATAGACCAAAAAGCTGTCTTTTAAAGTTAGAATTATTTCCCATCAGCCTTTCCTCACATGTCACTTCCAAATACCAGCTAATTTTTAAGTACTATTTGAAATACCTGATCACTGTATAAAGTATGTTTTTATTAGAGGCATAACAAACCTTACAGTTAGTAAAAACCAACTTTTACAAATCATGAATAAGGAAGCAAATTTAGAGCTTAACTTTTCCTAACTATTAATAATCTACCAGAAAACTAAAATCTTCAGCAAATACCTAAATATGAAAGGTAAAAATATAAATTGCTTTAGAAAAAAAGTATCTTCACACTGGTAGGACAGGAAAGTATTATATTATACTATATTACAACCAAGATGTTTTGAGAAGACATCTGCACTAAATAGTAATATCCATTATATGTAAACAATTTATATATCAATGATGGCAAAATAAAAAGGAACTTTTAAAAAAAATGGTCAAGGGACTTGAACAGGCACTATATAAAAGAAGAAAACTATTTAACAAAATGAATACTAGGATGCTAAAGCAAGTCTTACCTGAGGAGAGAAGGGATTAAAGGGAGGAGACAAACTAATGGAAAAGGAATGATGGGTGAATACAGTCATAATATTCAATGCATATACATGAAAACAGAACCTGAAAACTTGAGGAGATGGGTGGGAATCATTCAAAGTTTCAAATCTAAGTACACTCACTCGTCCTAAACACCAAACACTACATGCAGGTATCTGTTTATGGGGACCTAGAGTCCCTAATATTTGGTAAAGTTCACAAAGCAAAAGAACACTATATCAACTTTTTTTTCATTAACCAAGAAAGATCTTGATTAAGAAGTGCTACATACAACCAGCACAAGATATCCTAATCTTACCAAAGACCATATTGTTCAGGAATATATATCCAAATTAGACCAAAAACTAATCTGAGATATGTTTCCTCTTCTCCAACCTTCTTTTAAAAGTAGAGATTTGCCCCCCCCCAAAAAAGGCCCTGTTTCAAGCATCTCCTTTCAGTTTAGCAGCCAAGAATTCCCTTTCTATTAGTTTGCATCCTATAACGTAATTCTAAGCCTTGCTCATTAGTAAGGCATCTGTGACAGATGCAAACCAAGACCCAATGATTACAATGAATAGAGCTATACTACAAGCCTGCTAAGGCAGTGACTCAATTCAAACTATTTACTCTCCATTCCTGTGATGATATGGGCATGAGAAAAGGAGACAGGCACTTTAAAACATGCCTAAAAATTGTTAACAGTTCATTAAGAGATTATTCACATATTTTCCATGTATGTGGCTATCTTATACAATAAATACCATATCATAATTGAATAAGCAAAGTACCTGAAAGATTGCCACCTGTCCTAGGATAGGCCACTTCCACATAAACTTCAAATGTGGTTTCTGGGTTTTGCCTACAAAAGAAATAGATCGTGATTATTAGCAAGAACTGAAGCAGCATTAGCAAAACATATAAGCTATGGTATAAAACAGATCTTGATTAAAATCGTTAGTTCCACAACTTAATGAACAAGCTACTTCTGAACCACAGTCTTCGTGATCTACAAAATAAAAATTATCTAACTAGAAGAATTATTATCAAACCTAAGAAAAAACACAAAAATTATCTAGGGATAATATATAATAAGTTAGCTATTACTGCAGTCTTCCAGCCATTAGTTCTGATATCCACAGCTGAATCTCCAAAACCAATGAGGGAAGAATTTTGAAATTCAGATTAAGGCAATTCTAGTACAATGAAGCCTTCTCTTCCACACCCCAGGATAAAAAACTCATATAACAAAACTAGCTTGCTATGTAGAGGTTTTAAAGACTGAAATAGAGAAGTAGTATCCTATATTAAAAGATTAAGATGGAATGCCAATCTATACTGAACACACAAAGGGATCTTCACTAGTACTGACACTGGAATGTGTTAATGTTCACTTGTTCACTATTATACTCATTTACTTTTTTTTTTTTTTTTGGGGTCCAGTCGTGGGGCCTGAACTCTGGGCCTGGGCACTGTCCCTGAGCTCTTCAGCTCAAGGCTAGCGCTCTACCACTTGAGCCACAGTGCCACTTCCGGCTTTTTTCTTTTTGTTTATGTGGTGCTGAGGAATCAAATCCAGGGCCTCATGCATGCAAGGCAAGCGCTCTACCACTGAGCCACCTTCCCAACCCTCATTTACTTTTTTATATGATAAAATACTCATGTTTCTCTATGTTTTGATATTCTTATGTCTTATGTGATAAATATTTACATTTCAGAATTAATTCTAAATGATAACAATACTGTGGTTATATTATTTTTATATTTTCTCTTTAATTTCAAAACTACAGATTTACAGATTGAATAAAAACCACTCAGCAAGATGTTATACTTTCAAATATTAATAACTTAAATCTATTTTTTAGATATTCAAATTTCTTTTTTTTTATTGTTAAGGTGATATACCAAGGGGTTGCAGTTATATAAGTAAGGTAATAAGTACATTCTTGCCAAACTTGTTATCTCGTCCCTCATTTTTCTCCCGCTTTCCCTCCCCTCCCCAACTCCCCCCTAAATCTATTTTAAAACTGACAAGCTCAATAAGGAACTTTCTTTTTTTTTGTTTTGTTTTTGGGTCCGGTTGTGGGGCCTGAACTCTGGGCCTGGGAGCTGTCCCTCAGCTCTTCAGCTCAAGGCTAGTGCTCTACCACTTGAGCCACAGCGCCACTTCCGGCTTTTTTCTTTTTGCTTATGTGGTGCTGAGGAATCGAACCCAGGGCCTCATGCATGCAAGGCAAGCACTCTACCACTGAGCCACCTTCCCAGCCCTCAATAAGGAACTTCCTGAGTTGCTTTGTAGTATATATGGGTTTAAATTTAAAGAAATGCTCTGAATTTTCCAGTAAAATCTAATTTCCAAAACAATTGTGTTATTTCATGTTATCCTCATCATAATCTTGGGAAGTGGGTGTGTTGGGAGCACACAGGTGAGGAACCAGTGGCACAGAGAGTCTAAATACCTTGTCTGAGGTTCCACAGCTAATTAGAAACACAGGCAGGACCAGAATTTCCACCTCCTGGTGCTTAAATTCTGTTTCATTGACTCTCACATCAATTTTGATTGTTCATGCTTTCACATGTTTACAACCTATAGCATTTTACAATTGCAAATGGAGCATTTTTTTCTTCCTAATATACAAAATAATGGTTTATGTAATAATGACATCTGAGTTTTTTACAGTAATATGCCCTCTACTTTCTTTTTTTCTTTTTTCTTTCTTTTTTTTTTTTTTTGTCAGTTTTGGGGCTTGAACTCTGGGCCTGGGCACCGTCCCTCAGCTCTTCACACAAGGCTCTACCACTTGAGCTACAGTGGAGAGAAGAGTCTCACAGACTTTACTGCAAGAGCTGGCTTTGAACCGATCCTCAGATCTCAGCCTCCTGAGTAGCTTGGATCACAGGTGTGAGCCACGGGCATCTGGCTGCCCTCTACTTTCTTAGAAGAAAAATTTGTTTTCTAAATTGGGAAGCTAGCTATTTCTCTTACAAAGAATAATCATTTATTTTTCTTTCACTGAAGAGAAATGTGGACTTTTAAACGCTGTAAATAAGTGCCTAGAAAAAAGAGTTGACTGCTCTCAAATTCAAAACACTTAAATATACCTTGTCAGATATAGTCACACACACACACACACAAATCACACACTAAATCAAGAGTATCTTACTCAAAAAGAAAAATAAACTAAAGTTTCAAGGAGGACTTTTTAAAACTCTTTCCCTGTGAGAGAGTACAATATGACTGACAAAGTTAGCACCCTTTGGCACCAAACATTTGTGGGAAAACTACCACAGAGACATTCCTTTCACTCAGGATCCCAAGGGAGAGCATCTGATGAAAGGAAAGGAAGGCTCTCAGGTTATCTTTCATAAATAATAGGTAGTATAATCTGAAAAGCTTCAAGAAAAGCTCCCTCCAAATCCTAAAAATATTCTTCTTAAGACTATTTGGCATCTAGTTGAATTTCATCTCAGAATTCCTCTGAGTTAAAACTGCTTTCAAAATGTGTTCTACATGTCTTCAGAACCCCATGAACAGTCTTCAGAATTTCCATACCTTTTCACTCAAGTTCTCATTACTTAAATTTGGTTTTATGCCTTTAAATTGAAATAACAAACACAAATATGAGGTATTATATACCAAATTTTAAAACACTGAACACATTTCGTATAGACCTGATACCTCTAAATGAAGAATGTCCTATCTCTGTCTCTCTACTTGTCCTTTTCATTTAACACACCTCAACCAGACTTCTGAACCCACTCACTGAAACAACTTGTCAAAGACACCAAAAAAAGACCTCCTCATGGCTACTATGTGCTACCATGCAAAATTCTTGATGTTTGTTTAAGCCTCTTAGTGTTTCATAAAGCTGATAGATTTGCCCTGCTCCTTGAAAATACCATCTTCTCTTTCCTTCCAGGGCATCATGCTATTGGTACTCTTCCTTCCACCTAGCTGTTCTTTGCTAATTCCTTCTCATGTAAGCTGTTCTGCTTTAAAACTTAGTCAAGAGGACTCTGTCTACACTCACTATTTAGATTATCTCATTCAGTACTATGGCTTTCATTACTTAAGTATATGCTGACAAGCCCCAAAATCTTATCTCCAACCTGACCTCTTACCAGACTCTAACTTTCCTATCTATTCAATACCTTCTCTTAGATGGTTCTAATTTTAACATGCTTTTTATTCCTCAAACCTTTATCTCCAGTTCTTCAAACTAGCAAAACATAATCATCTTTGTCTCCTCAGTGCTTTATATGTCACCATAAGCAGCAAATTCCATTGACTCTGCCATCAAAATACACCAAGCACTTCAGTGTTTCCCAACACCCATAATACTAGCATCCTTGACAGATCACCTTTATCTCCCCTCAATTACTGCACTGTTCACCTGATGGGTTTCCAGATTTCAACCCCTCCCCTCATGATTTTACTTCAGTTTAGCAGACAGTAATGCTTTTATGTTATGTGAGCCCTCTGCTAAAAGCATCCTCAAAGTTTCCCACACACTTGTACTTCTAGTTCTGGAGCTTGATAATGATGATAGGTACACAACTATATGGAGACACTTAACAGTATTGAATTGAACACTTAATGGTTAAAGCAGCTGGGTGCCAGTGTCTCACACCTATAATCCTTGCTACTCAGGAAGCTGAGATCTGAGGATCGCAGTTCAAAGCCAGCTGGGGCAGAAAAAGTTAATGAGACTCTTACCTCTAATAAACTACTCAGAAAAAGTTGGAAGTGGTACTATGGCTCAGGTGGTAGAACACTAGGCTTGAGCACAAAGAGGCTCAAGGAGAACAGTGCCCAGGCCCTGAGTTGAAGCCCATGACCGACTCCCCACCCCCCCAAAAAAATGGTTAAAGCAGAAAAGTTTTATGTGCTTTTTTCCACGATAAAACAATAAAAGGGAAAGAAAACTCATAAAAACTACATGATCTGAGCTTTTTCCAACTTTATTTTAGACTTCTCTCTCCAAACCCACTGAACTCCAGCCACACTAGGCCTCTTCTACCACTCAAGCACTCCAAATCTATTCTTTTTTTTGGGGGGGGAGGGGGGTCCAGTCATGGGGCCTGAACTCTGGGCCTGGGCGCTGTCCCTCAGCTCTTCAGCTCAAGGCTAGCGCTCTACCACTTGAGCCACAGCGCTACTTCTGGCTTTTTTTCTTTTTGCTTATGTGGTGCTGGGGAATCGAACCCAGGGCCTCATGCATGCAAGGCAAGCGCTCTACCACTGAGCCACCTTCCCAGCCCTAAATCTATTCTTTTTATATTGATCTTCACCTAGGTAGCTCCTCTGTAATTCAGAATTCAGCTTATATTTGCCCTCCTTAGAAAGATCTTTTTCATCATACTATTCACCTTTTATTTTCCGAATTATACTTATCCCCGAACCTTGGTAACTATGGTCAAGCTTCTTCTTTGACATCTAACTGCTGGAGAACAGTGACTGTATCACACCACATATGCTTCTTTGATACCTGCCCAAATAAATATTCCATCCCCACCTCCAGAGTTTGTAGGATAGAACCCAAAACTTAGCATTTCTACCAAGCATACAGCTCATACTGATGTAGCTAGACTGGTGATCACGTTCTTAAGAATCATTAATGTAATTTAATGGAGTTCTACCAAATAATGTATGACATACAATATAAAATAGAGTATACCTCAATAGTCCATCAACAGTACTTTTGCAATGAACAATGCATTTCAAAGAAAAGAGGTATTTAAGGAATGATGCTTATCCTTCCTCTCTTGCTCTCCAGTTACTCCATGACTCCACAAGGAGTAATAAACAATAAGCCACCTAAGATACTTACACAGTTGAAATAGGTGGCAGAGTTCCATTACATGGTGCCAAAATTAGAACAGTATCTTAAAAGACAGAGAGAGAGAGAGAGAGAGAGAGAGAGAGAGAGAAACGAGAGAGGGGGAGAATAGCAAAAGACTGAAATGCTAAGAACAATTTGGTCTATAATTATATTATAGTCATGCATATCTATGACCATTTACATGTTGCCTTATGGAAGAAGTGGTGACTAATGTTGTGACAAGTTATATAATGTAACAAATATACATAAGTTATTTTAAGGGCCAGGGAAGCCAATGCAGA